CCCTGGTTTTCTTGAACTAGACTGGAATATCCTCAAGGCCTCTTGTACTTTGGGTTTGTTTTCCAAATAGAAAGATAAAAGAAGGGGACGATCTGTCTCACGGGGTGAGACAGGCATCTCTGGAGGGAAGGTCGCTTCAAGAGAGGGAAGGGTTAAAAGACTGAGGGCAAAAGACAGTAACAACACACATGAAACCTCTTAGTTGGACCAAACAGCAAAGCCCCAGAGAGGCTCGAAGCCCCGGGAGCTCCTCGCGGTGAGGCTTTTACAACGTGTGCCAGGTTTGTTTATCCTGTAACCTCAGGAAGAAAAGACCACCAAGAATCGCAGTGGGAAGTGAAGCAGAGGAGAGGGGCAAGCCATTTCTCTGGAATTGCTACTTCTCTCTTACATTCTGTAAACCGCACCTTCACAACACCCACCCCCACCCGCGCCCATCCTCAACTGCTTCCTGCCCTCTTTTTCCTGACAGCTAGTCCTCAGTTCAGAAAAGTGAAAATCAAATCTAATTCAGCATTTCCCAGCCCAATCTTGCTTCCCAATGGGGCAGTCTGGACCTTGCTGCCCACCAGGGCAGCTCCAGCTGCCCCCACGGACGGCGCCCCCTGCAGGTGTGGAGCAGTATCTGGTCCCTTTACCATTTTCCAAAGGCCTCTTCCGGGGGATCATAGTTACTCAATTTTCTAAGCGTGTGGATAATTCCAGTTTCTCCTAAAATACTCTTAAAATGCAGAAAGCTTCAAAGAGGAAACTGACATTGACATACAATCCCCCTCAAAATTATAAGAGAAGCAGGTGGGAGTGTCAGTGGATGCAAACTGCTTAACCTCTGTGATGCTAACTGGATTGAATCCTGGTTGCTACCACATAAATGTGGGGCTATCGCTGTCCCTCTTTTCATCCTGTTTCCTCATTTATAAAATAAAGGGGATGATGATCAGAGTGCTTAACTCCTGGGAATGTGAACAGTCACTGAGATAAATGCTTAACCAAAACAGGTCACAAAATAAACACTAAATGTCATCGGCTGTTTTTCTTTTTCATTAGTGAATCTAAATTGACCATCAAGAGTCTTTTCTTTTACCAAAAGCCACAGTTCCTTCAGACTTGGTTTTCTAGCTTTTTTTGTGGGCTCTGGCTGGGAAAGTATTAATAACGATGAGAGATGAGCAGCAATATGAGTGAGTCATTCTTAACACTTTACCTATTAACTCATATAATCCTACAAAGACCTGTGAGAGAGGTTCCCTTGTTACTTATGAGAAAAGGATCCTTTGGGACAGAGAGATTCTTGCATTTTTAAGTATAGAGGGAAGACTTGGAGCCAAGTCAACATCAATGGCTTCAAGCTTGCTCTCTGAATTGCTTACATGCATCCTGAAAGAGAAAACTTAGGAAGTAAGTAACATTTGTGGTTTGCAGAATAACTTAGCTTTCTTTGACAACTGTTTCTCAAAAGCTCTTTCTCAAGAGTGATTAGCCAGTAAACTCCAAATTATAACAGTCATTTAATTAAAAGGTAAGTGGTAAAGCATTTCCATGATCCAATCAGAACACGTGTGAATTAAAATGTCTCGATGGTGTGCAGACCCATTAATTATGCTTATACATATTT